GCTTTGGGCCTTCTTTCCTCTTAAAGTCCTCCAGGTTCCCGTGGTTCATACTTGTTCCCTTAGGAATTGGAACCCTAGGCCGGCGTGTGGCACCGCTTTCAGTTCAGTACACCCTATCCTAAGTGTGTGTGTGCGTGTGTGAATCATTGAGCAGCGACTCGGGTAGGGCACACCGGCTGCCCAGTATGTCAGCATGATTTCTCGTCATCGGCATCCCAAAAAGCTTGGCTTGGATATATCAGTCTTGGAAGGGGTCTCTTCACCCACCCTGTGTGATGAATCAGCACTTGCGACAGTATCAAACATCTGTGCAAATGTCACCCAGGCCCAGGACCCAAACAATGGTGCTCATGTACAAAGGAAAACTAACTATTCAACCCACAGCTTTCTGCGGAACTTAACTTATTTACTAGTGGGACCACATACCACAAGCTGCTCTGTACACTTTTGGTGGACAGTTTAGGGTGCCAAAGAGTATCTGTGCGTTCTTGTGTATTTATGGGTATCTTTATTGCAGCGATTCGGCAAGGACACTCAGCTCAGAAGCATCTTGAGGTGGAATTGGTTCCTGTCGCCGCACAGGAGAACGACGACCTTGAACTCATCGGACTGTGAGTTTTCTCCCTAAGTTTACACTACGCAAACAACCCTGCCCAACCGATGCCGTCCCTGGTGTTGCCTGAAGAGTACCCACCTAAAGTCAGAGACCTGATCGTTTTTGGTTTGCACGGGGAGGGGGTAGGCCATAATAGCTACTAAGGTCAAGTAACTACTAGTAACTGGGACGCAAACCGTAAGGGTGGAACATCTCGCCGTCCTCTTGCACGATCGCTTTGGACCATGACCTGGCTATTTTCACAAGCAATGCTTTCCTGGTGCATGAAAAAAAATAGGCCAGTATAGACGACAAACAGTGTCAGCAATATGTTTAAGCGTCAACTCCTTGAATTCTAATGTTGGTGGGAGGGAATGTCTGCACTTATATATCTATTGCCTCCAGCTGTTTGGGAACGGCAAGCAAATAAAAACAATGTTTGAAAACAACAAATGCTTGAGTCACATGTGAAAAACGGTCACTAGGATCAGTAAACTATTTGGGAAATGTTTGATAAAGTGGCCAGGAGCACTGGCCGGTGGACTCCACAGAGTGTTCAACATGCACATATCATATCAACATATGTATGCGTATGATTGCGTATGCATGCGCTGCGTGCGGGGCACAGTAACCAAAGGACACAAGAGGTGATGCTGGAGGATTCCGCTCGTTCTGATGTTCGCTGTTCTGCCCTGACAGGCTGCTGCAGGAATTTCATGGTGTTTCTTTGATTTCATGGTGTGAAACACAAGAGTCTTGGATCTTTGCGCATTTGCTCAGCAATTGCTGTCACTGCGTACTCAGTGTCAGATCTGGCCTTGCCGCAGTGATATAAACTTTCCATATGAGCTGCAAACTGTGTTCTCAGAATCAATGTTTGATCTACTCACCTTGTCACCCTGGCATCTCAACTACAAGCAAGACCTTCACTGTTTGCTGAGTTGCTGTGTGTGAAT